GCTCATCAGAAGACAAAAACAAGCCGAAAACACCAAAGGGACCAGGAAGTGAAAAGGGACCCGGCTCATCAGACGACAAAAACAAGCTGAAAACACCAAAGGGACCAAAAGGTGCAAAGGAACCTGAGTCTCCAGAACACAAAGACAAGCCAAAAACACCAAAGGGATCAGGAGGCGCAAAGGGACCCGGCTCATCAGAAGAAAAGGACATGCCAAAAACACCAAAGGGACCAGGCGGTGACAAGAAACCCGGCTCATCAGAAGACAAAGACAAGCCGAAAACACCGAAGGGACGAGGAGACGCAAAGGGACCCGGCTCATCAGAACACAAAGACAAGCCGAAAACACCAAAGGGACCAAAAGGTGGAAAGCAGCCCGGGTCACCAGAACGCAAAGACAAGCCGAAAACACCAAAGGGACCAGGAGATGAAAAGGCACCCGACTCATCAGAACACAAAGACAAGCCGAAAACACCAAAGGGACCAGGAGGCGCAAAGAAACCTGGCTCGCCGGAACACAAAGACAAGCCGAAAACACCAAAGGGACCAGGCGGTGCAAAGGAACCTGAGTCACCAGAACACAAAGACAAGCCGAAAACACCAAAGGGACCAGGAGGTGCAAAGGAACCTGAGTCACCAGAACACAAAGACAAGCCGAAAACACCAAAGGGACCAGGAGGTGCAAAGAAACCTGGCTCGCCGGAACACAAAGACAAGCCGAAAACACCAAAGGGACCAGGAGATGAAAAGGCACCCGGCTCATCAGAACACAAAGACAAGCCGAAAACAGCAAAGGGACCAGGAGGTGAAAAGAAACCCGGCTCATCAGAAGACAAAGACAAGCCGAAAACACCGAAGGGACCAGGAGACGCAAAGGGACCCGGCTCATCAGAACACAAAGACAAGCCGAAAACACCAAAGGGACCAGGAGGTGAAAAGGAATCGGGCTCACCAGAACACAAAGACAAGCCGAAAACACCAAAAGGACCAGGAGGCGCAAAGAAACCTGGCTCACCGGAACACAAACAGAAGCCGAAAACACCAAAGGGAGCTGGAGGTGAAAAGGAACCAGGCTCAGCAGACGATAAAGAGCTGCCGAAGAAACCGCACGGACCACATGGTGACAAGGGACCTTCCTCACCTGAAGACAAGGAACACGGGAAGAAACCACATGGTCAACATGGTGGTAAGGGACCTGGCTCACCTGACGACAAGGAACACCCGAAGATACCACATGGACCACATGGTGGTAAGGGATCTGGCTCAGCTGAAGACAAGAAGCACTCGAAGAATCCACATGGACCACATGGTGGTAAGGATCGTGGCTCACCAGACGATAAGGAACACCCGAAGAATCCACATGGACCACATGGTGGTAAGGGACCTGGCTCAGCTGATGACAAGGAACACCCGAAGAATCCACATGGACCACATGATGGTAAGGAACCTGGCTCAGCTGATGATAAGGAGCACCCGAAGAAACCAGATGGACCACATGGTGGTAAGGGACCTGGCTCACCTGAAGACAAGAAACACCCGAAGAATCCACATGGACAACATGATGGTAAGGAACATGGCTCACCAGACGATAAGGAACACCCGAAGAAACCACATGGACCACATGGACCACATGGTGGTAAGGGACCTGGCGCACCTGAAGACAAGGAACACCCGAAGAAACCAAATGGACCACATGGTGGAAAGAAACCTACCTCATCTGAAGAAAAGGGACGACCGAAGAAACCACATAAACCAAGAACAGGTAGGCAGATAGCTCATGTGAAGAGAAAAGGTCTTCCGAAGAAACCGAATGAACCAGAAGCAGAGAAGATACCGGAGGAAGGATAATAAGGAAGTTGATAGCATGAACTGGAAGAAGGAAAGGCATATACATTATGTGAATGAAAGGAGTGCCCGAAGGTACCCAAGGAACTGGAAGAGGGTAAGGCTGGTACCTTATCTGAAGAAGAAAGACCCGTGAAGGTACTAGATGAATGAGATGGAATAGAGGCATATGTCGCATGTGTAGAAGAAGGAGGCCCGAAGAATTTAGATGTACCATAAGCAAGAAAGGGTTCGGAAGGGCGGAAAGAAGTAACAGCAGAATATGAGCTGAATGCGGAAAAGGCAGTTCCCTTGTGTGAATATATTGGACGGGGGAAGGGACCAAAGGACCCAGTAGGCGAGAAGCGGTCTTTCTCATGTGAAGAAAAAGGACGCTCAAAGAAAGCAAATGAATGAGGTACGAGAAAGGTAAGCATGTCATCTGAATTAAAAAGGTCGTGCGCAGAGATCGATGGAACCAGAAGCAGCAAGGATACCTACCTTATGTGAACAAAAGGACTCTTTAAGATACCAAATCAATTGGAAGTCGAAAAGCGGCCGACGTGATCCATAGGAAATTGTCTCATGGAGATACCATAAGGAACGAATGGAGGAAAGAGACGACATGGGCGAGAAGACATAAGAGAGCGGCGTTGCGACAGAAGAAGCAGGGAATCGGCTGGAATCCAGTGGAGGAGTAGAACATAAAGGAGGACATGAGCGAAAGGAAGGCTTGCGCTTCTGAAGAAAGAGCAGAACGAAAAGAATCAGACGAACTAAAGGAAGGGTCTGTATTTGGTGAAAGAGCAGAACATAAGAGACCGGATGAACCAGCAGTGAAGTGGCGAGATGGAGAAAATGTACCAAGGCTACGGAGTGGACCGGAAGGGGGTTTGATTTTTGGACATCTGCAGCAAGTAGTGAATTGCAGGAACCAAAGGAAGATGTTGTATCGGTGGCACCTTGACCAGCTAATGGAAGGGAAGGACTAAATTGCGACTTTGTGTCTGGAGGAAGATGTGTATCGATTGGACCATGTACAGTACGGTGCCCACTTGTAGCGAGGGAGTGTTCGTTATCTATAGTGTCTTCAGGGTGGGCTGCGCAACATAGGTGAGGGAAACTAGGTAGACCTCTAGATTATCCATCCTTGTGAATTGAGGCGGGTCTCTAATGATCGACATCGGTTGAATGAAGTGTTCCGTTTGGAGAGATTTTGGGGATAGGGCGCGACATGGGACAGAAGTTACGGATGAACCTGTACAAGAGAATCATATGGTGCCTCACCAAGTCGATATGTACCAAAGAATCCTTTGTGTTTGTCTGTAGAGAAGGGTTGAGGGTTCTGCATGGTGAGATATCTCATCCGTAAATTGCCGGTATGGAGGAATAGGAGTTGGTGGGTCGAAGGAAAGTTCGTTGTTGGTGAAAAGTGTTGCATCACAGAGGCTGGTTCGTCGGTGGCTATCTTAGATGTGGAAGTTTCCTATTGATTTCGAAGGAGGTTTATGTGTTTTGTTGGTGAAAACAGTTGAGGCAGAGTAGGAATCTTTTCTGTTTTATGGTAGAAGACTATCTCATTGTTACTTTTTTTGAGGGAATCGGTAGATATAGGAAATGATGGGTTCTGGTTTGTATAGACGTTCTTTTGAAAATGTCACTATTACAGTAGATGGATGTAGTTCGTTTTAACTGTTGTTGTAAATAATGGATGTGTATTTGTAGGTGACGGTTTATCGCCTGCTTCATCAGAAGAAGGTAAACCTAAGCAAAAAGATGGGGCACTGGTCAGCAAACGTGGAGGTGGTCATATTGCTCGTGTATGTTGTAAAAGCGTTCTGATGTTCTTTATTTAATGTATTTTGTTCAGATATTGTCAACGACAGCGGATGTTGCTTTCAAACGTGGTGCTCGTTACGATTCACCATGTGCTCGATGCGCCTTGCGTAGAATCAGTTCAACATTGCTATTGGAAGGCATGACGTTGGATCACATTTCTAACAAAGCCTGTGGACGATTCCCACAAAACTTTAAATACGTCTTGTTAGCTGAAGTTCGCAAATATCAACGAGTTGGTCTTAAGTCAATTGAAATTACAAGTATATCAGTTGATAAAAAACAAAATTTGATTATTGAATTTGATTGTATTGTTGATCCACAATACAACGAATTGATTCGCAGTGCATTGCGACGTGCTTCTGTCACACTGGATGTAAGTTTTTGTGTTATTATAGATAATATTTAATCACTTTCTTTTTTTTTGTCTTTATAGCTTAAACGTATCTTCAAACATCAAGAACACTATTAAACTCCAACTTGGAAGTTGCTTTTCTCTCACTATGAACTATTTCTCTTACCATTGAAGTTCTTGTATTATGAGAGATAAAATAAAAATAATCATTAAAATTTTTTTTCTCACAAATACTGCACTATTGATCATATTATATGATCTAGGATACTTCCCGTCCTTGAAATGTCTTTATTATATTCCAGTCCTGAACAATACAGTTATAAATAAGCTGATATGATTTGTTTCTATAGAATTGTATTTCTCAGAAATAATTCGATTAAAAATTATTTTTTATTTAATAGTCTCTTGAGAAAATAATACTTTTTGGAAGATTTCAATTGGTTATTTCATTGGGTAATCAGAGTTAAATTTGATATCGATTATAATTTCAAAGTTTGATCACTATCTCAATAAGTGGAAATCTGATTGAGAATTGTCAGTTGGCTATATTTATTTATAGTTAGATCAATTTTTTATTTTTTATAGATTATAAATTTTTGAAATCGATTAAAATCTGAAACTTAGGAAGTTTAATAGAATGATTCTCAATGAATTATCAATTATCACCTGTACTTAATACGATTATGTTTTGAAGTCAAAATCAATGTTTTCGCTTCGTTTGAATTTGAAGTATTACATCATGTCAATAAGAAGATGACGGTTTAATCTGATCATAGGATATTCTATTTATTTTGATGCAAAATCGGAAGCTTGTTATTTTCTTATCTTTAAATGTTTATTGGAACTGATATTCAATTTGTGAGTCGTGAGCGTAATCAATTAATCTGCAGTGTTTTGAATATGTTCTTCAAAGCGTGGTCGATTGCATTTTGCTCAAAGTCTTCCTATTTCTGCTAGGTAGCATTTTTCAAGGTATTCAATGCTTTCATCTAATGTTTTCGCACTCGCTTGTTCATAATTTCGTAAAGCGAATAGTCCATTGAAACAGCATCAGGACTGTTGGGTAACCATTCTTCCGGTGCTATAGCTTGTCTGCTGTGTTCTTTCATATAAGTAATTATCCCTTTTCCTTATAAACCGATATACTATCTTGATGAAGGATCCTTTTCTTTCGTGTATCATCAGAAAGTAACTGAGAAATTGCATATTTGACAAATGGTTCTATCTTATGCTCAATATAGTATCTGAAGAGAATTGTTGAACTATGTTCAATAAAATTTAACTCAATTCTACCATGTGTGCTTGCACCGACCAAAACCAGCAAAGTCATCAGGTGTGAATCAATTTCTTTGATTTCTTCGACACCTTCTGATAACCCATTACTTATAACATAATATAGATCGCTAGCACCTTGTGTTTTATCAGGGTTAAATCGAGCTCCGTCAGCGGTTACATAATTTTTATATTTTTGATTGCATAACCAACGGCACATATGCCAAGCTCTAGATAGTCT